GGTTGCTCTAGCGGTTTTTGGGGCCGGAGGGTTTGCTCGGGTGGCTTTGACCCTGAAAAAATTCTCTTTGTTTACTGGTTTGAGCTACAAATCTTTTATGACATATTAGATAGGGATTTGAAAAATAACAGAAAATATTAGGTTGGTGCAAAAGTAATGCGCGTTTTTCTAGCCCTTGTTTCAAGATAGCTTTTCTCCATCGAAGTTTCTCCTATGAAACTTACCCAGCATGCTATCAAGAAGCTTTTTTCATGCTCTATTCAATGGTGGTTGAAAGAAGCTTCTAGCCTCATTCGTTGAAAATTTGCAGAGCTTCATACAACCGCATTCGAAATCAAAATTTCTCTGCACTTACTTTTTTGGCCAGAATTTGAGCGCGAGTAAATGCATTCATTTGAGAATTTAATTACTGTATGCAGTAGAAATTTTCTACGTTGTGCACGTTTTGCTGTTTTCTCAAAAATCATTTAGACTGAGATTTCGGTGCCCCAACATGAGTGATGGTTATGACCATTCTGTGGCCCATAGATCTCCTTTGAAGAGGGCAATCGCCAAAGTTTTGCTCATTCCTGTAAGCGTAAAGGTGGACCTCCTGTTGACAGTTTTTGCAGAAATGTGGAAGCTGTTCAGTACACAGAAAATCAAAAATCTCTATATTTTGGGATTTTGAGGGCTACGAAAAAATGTCGAAAAAAGTGGACAATTTTGAATATTATTTTTTCCTTTTCGCAAATCTTCTTTGTTTAACCCCTTTTAACTTTTATTTGTACTACTGATTTGCGGCTACAAGACAGTGAACTTTTTACTTATACCAATAAATTTTGAAGGAAGTTATGATCAGTTAAAAACGAGGTTTCCGAAAAAAAATTTTTTTGCCTATCAATCCATATTTTTCCACCGTTTTGCGATGTTAGCACAAATCAATGTGCGCTGTATAGAGAGAGGTTTGTTGTCTCTGATGTACTCTGCCGCCTGCCGAAAATATGGATTTTTCAGAAAGTTATAACACGTCAAAATGAGAACTCGCAAGACGCGCATTACTTTTGCACCAACCTAATATATGCCACGGTTGGAGATATCACACAACTTGATATTTACTATTGTCTGAAAATTTCTCAGCCTTCCACTTTACAGAAGCCAATGGCGATTCGAGAAGTTTTTAAAGATTTTTTTTTCAAATCCAGGGTGTATGCTACTAAAAAATTTCAAATAGCCAATATAGTTCTGACAAGTTTTTGAAAATTTTTGAAATCTTCATTGAAAAAACAAGTTCTAGCTCAGTTTTTGTAGTTTATGTTAGTCGTAAACTTGAGATAAAATAAGACAAAAATCAAGACCGAAAAAATTTTTCAGCTTTGAAGCAAACTTTTTCAATAGTTGCTTTAGAGAGTTTTGGAATATGAGCAAAAAAAAATGAAATTCTGTCCAACCAAAGTAACAGTTAAGGAATCACGGTGACAAACTTCCTTTTCCGAAAACAGGCAAAAAACGTTTACTTTGAGCGGACTAAACTTGATTTAGTTCTGCTTCATTTCTTACAAACACTTCATCAGGAATTCTAAATATTAGAAATTCTTGACAGAACAGGAAGGCAGTAAAAGCCTTAAAAGGCAATGTTGTATACAACTCACTTATCACCTTTACGTAGTGCAACGGCATTGGTGGATGCAGCAGGTGGTTTCTTCTTTATGACTTGATCTACCCGATCACTGAAAAATATAATAGTATTTTGACCCTAATGACTGAAGGAAGAAAGAAGAAGCTAAACAAAGTTGATTTAACTAAGGAACTGTCACTATGAGATCATGCTTGGAATGTCAGCTGTTATGAACTACTTAGACAACAAACAAATGTTGGCACAAGGCTTACGGTTTCTGACATACACCATCTGTTGGAAGACGTGCACAGCTGTCAATGTCTTCACCCTTAAGAAAATATTATTAGTTCATAAAAAGGTTAACAACACAGATGTGTGTGGAAAAAAGTTGTTCTTTATTTGATGGCTTTGGTCTAGGTGCAATAGCACGCTCTGAAAATTCGGTCAAATAGTTGCCAAAAAGTTCCAACCTTTAGACTACCAAGCACATCAAAAAGATTGAATCTTGATAAAAGAATGACTTCATTTTGAATATCAGTGCAGTGTATCAGTGCATCCTCATGTCTAACCTGTCATGGGGACCCTCATTACTTTGTTCAACTCATGCACCAAGGTTAAGAATATCTATGAACTCCGTCATTTCCAGTGAATTTGTTTCCTTTTATGGCTACGAAAGTGAAATACAAGTCTAATGCTGCCAAATGCAAAAATTGTTAACGGCAATCTATCGAAAAAAGTAATAATGCTTCTAATCAATTTCGTGGACTTCTAACAGAAAGTCTGCTGTTCGGAAGTTCAAAGGCTATAATTTCAAAATTTTTTAACCAATTTTTTGTTATACAGAGTGTCTCAAAGAAATGTACCTACTGTTTGAAAAAACTCTCTTGTAATGAAGTGTTTCGAAAAGCTTAAGGTACCATTTTGTAGAGCGAGGCTAAACTAGATTTACAGTATGGAGCGAATCGTCGATCGTTCTTCATTACTGTAGGATTACGGTAAGAACTACGAGCATATGGAACCATTGTGAAATATGTATACCACCTAACAGAATTTTTTCAAAAAATCTGAAAAATCGTGTACTATTTTTTAGCACGCTGATTCCATTTAACAATTTTTTATGAGTGTATTCAGCTTTTCTGACGGTGTAATTACATTTCGACAAATGCTGGGAATTGAGTTATTACGATTTACCGGGATAACTTGAGAAAGAAGCATCACGGCAAAATATAAATTTCAAGTTCAAAATCAGCGGCTCTCATTACCGTAGTATAAGAGTTTTTGGCTTGTTTGGTTTCGTTCCGAGGCAGAATATGGCCTCCAATGGCCTAAAATCCTTTTCGAAGTTCGTACCGTAATCCTACAGTAACGAAGAGCGATAGATGATTCGCTCCATACTGTGAATCAAAGTTCGACCTCGCTCTACAAAACAGTATTTAGTGCTTCTCGAAACGCTTCATTACAAGAAAGTTATTTACAATCAAACAGTAAGTACATTTTTTGGGACACCCTGTAGAATCTCCGACATGCTTACCGATACAAGTTTAATATAGAGAATAAATACAATTCATAACAAATCATGTCTCAAACATTTTCAAACATTCTTTTTATAATGGTGCAAGACTTCGGACAACCCTAGAGGCAAACGCTGAAGTTTTTGCAAATTTCAGATTGCAAAAGCTATGAATATTTCATGACCCACTACTAATATATAGAGTTTGTGCTAAAGTGTTTCTAGAGATAGTGAAACAGCTCAAAATTTACGATATTACTTCTATAAGACATTTTCGGTCAGATGAAAAATGACCTCTCGCAAGGCTCAGATAACTACGTTCCAAAATAAGATGGGATAAGTTAACATTTTAAACGTCATTCTGATTCAAATAAGACGCTCCGATCAAGTCATTAAAGAGGGGGAAAGGCTACCTTAACTGTCATTTGTGCCTCTCCGTTCTTCACAATACTCAGTTTTGTGGAAGCGATGTTTTCTCCCTCAACTTTCATGATCACTGCAGAAATCAGCGACTCGACAATCTGTAAAGGAAATACTTTCGCATAATGGCTGAAAATTAAAAGAGTCTTCAAATCATACATCGTACTTTTTGGGTAAAATAGAGAGTGCTATTCAAAGAAGTAATAAAATTTTAGTTAACACGAAAACTTTTAATTCAAATTGACATTTTCCAACACTCTGAAAGATATTGCGCTTACCTCTTGTATCCTCTCAACACCATTATCGTTGTCGCATTTCCGAGATTCCAAATTCCTGGGTTCCACTGAATTTTTTCCCTCATCGGACTTCCCGGTAAGAGTTGCGCTCCTCTTCTTGGGAACCGATCTTTCCTTGGAAGTCGATTTAGCAGCCGGTGGTTTCATTGGAAAATGAAATGAATTGTGGAAGTCTCGCCATACTTCTCCATGCATAGCTACTTGTCATACATTTCCAATTAGCCGTCCAGGGTGAAAAACATACACAAATTATTCTCGAGCCACTTCTGTAAGAGAAGGGACTTGTCAAACTTATTAGACACACTTCTTACTACAATTGACTATCAAAATTATTTTTCTACTGAAAACACAATATTCGGTTATATTGTTGCCTTCCAAAAAACAGTAAAGAACGATGGAAGAAGATGTAGAGGTCAAGAGTGATAAGCGCTACGGTAACACTGATTACGTTTATTCAAATCAACTCAAGATCCCATACAAAACAAATTAACCGTAGAAAAGTTTTTTAAAGGAACTGTGGAAGTAATGCCTTCTCATGCTTTTGCCTAAGAAAGCAGTAACAACTCATACTCACTTACTATTGGGAACTTATGTGAATGGAAGGTAATAAGCATTTTTCCAAAAATTTTGCTTAACTGGTGAATGAAATTGTGAATACAAAGGCTCGTTTGCAACGCGCAGACAACGATTTGGTATGAAACTTGGTACGTACATGAACACGGGCCTGCTGGAGTTAACTGAGAAGTTTCACTGCAGAGTTATGTGACTGAAGGTTGTGGCAAGTTTTTTTTCTGAAAATTTTCCCCTGATGAAAAATGGAAAAATGGCTCTTTTGCAACGCAGATATGATAAAAGCGCGAGATTTTGTATGTGTTTACGAGCAATAGAAAACGAGGGAACAAAGTATGAAAAATTATGAAAAACTTACGTGTATGAACAGCCCAACTTTTTTCCAAATTAGGTGGGCAATTGCCCACCTATTGCCCACCTGAGGTAGGCAAAACTTCCATTTCGCACCAGTTTTTCAAAACTTTTACGTAAACCTGTTCTACACATGAAGTTCAGTTCATATTAACATTTTGATTTCAAACCTCCTCTTCTGCTCCTTGTTAGGATCCAAATTAGCAATAGCGCCGGCCATTGATGAAGAAAGCGCGCTTTAGCCGAACAACCTATGCAGCTGGCGGGATCAAATGGATAGTAAAAATCGATAGTGGCAAAGGCGAGTTCCGCCACTGTCCATTTGCCACCATCGCGCTGGGCCCTGCCAGTATGCGCAGGCAAGCTTAGCAGGTGCATACATTTTACTTTATGCAAAACTTTTGCTCGGAGAAAGCAAGAATGATAACCGGATCAAGCGTGGGGAGTGGCATGCCGCTCCTGGGGAGTCGTATTGAGGTTCAGAGGAGAAGGGGATCGTTAATGAGGTGATTTCGATGTTAACCATGTTGATATTGTAAACAGTGTCAGATAGGCCCGTCGTGCAAAATACTAGCACCACAAGCGTTTTGGCCTACCGTCGTATAGGATCACGATAGGCCGGGATAATTGCACATCAACAGATCAATAAAGCTGAGAATCGATAAAGAATATGAAGTATTCTTGTATTATACAGGGCTTTACATCCTGATGTCACAGCCGCATCGCTCGGCCGCCACGCTTAGGTCCGCGTAGCGTTCGTGGCGCATCGTCCGGGCATTTTGCCAGGTCTCAATCAGTGCCGCCGACGCATGCACCAGGCTGCGCATCGACTGAAGCTTGGCAAAATGCCCGGACGATGCGCCGCAAACGCCGCGCGCGGCCTAAGCGAGGCGGCCGCGTTGAAGGAGCCGCGCAAGCGGAGGCTGTGACTCTTATGTTGAAAGCCCTGTACATGAAATCATAGAAGCATTACATGAAATGATAATCAATATCAGTCAATATATATGCATAACCGAATAAGACTGGAAAAGTTGGCAAATATTAGGAATTGAAAAGCAATGATATACTGATGGAAGAGAAGGAAGAATAAGATAAAGGCAAGGATAACCACTTCATTCACAAGGGATAAGATGCGCTTTAGAGAAAAGATGGTCCTGTGGCAAAAGATCCCGTTTCTACTTATCGTATGTCATTTTGGTCTTGTTTGCGCGACTGAAAATGACATCGGGCTCCTTTCCTTTCTGTAATAAGAAAAAATCAAAATTTTTGATGTAAATCGCGCCTTATCGCAAATGTTCCATTTTACAACTTTTTCGCAAAGAAATAGAGAAAATTTGGACGATTTACTGAAAAACTTCGGAAGTCTTGAAAAATAAGCAAAAAAGAGACAGATTTGAATATCTGTGGAGCTTTCAGCAAAAAAAAATCAAGGCTCTCTAGTTCAACCTAACATTTCAGAATTCTCAGACAAAAAATATGTGTAACACTTTCCAAGGCAGACGCGTGTAAGTGAGGATAATTATATAGAAACAATGTTGAATTTTTATGAATTATTTAGAAAATATTAGGTCGTTCCGAAAGTTCGTTCGCACTTAAATTCATATCTTCTGACCTACCAATGACCATTTGCTGCAGAGATAGTGGCGGTAGCAGATAATGACCCAAATTTTGAGTTTTCTGTGTAAGGTCATAAAAAATCTGAAACTTGAAATAAAAATTGGAGAGGCCGGTCTTACAGGTTTGATTACTTGTTCTCTCTAATTGAACAAAGTTTGCACTGATTAAAGGTCTCTATCGTAAATTATGACTGTTTCATCGATAGTTTGATAACTCGGCTTGAAATACTTACTGGAATACTTCAGCGGAAAGAAAGTACGGGCTACCTGCGGGCTTTGAGGTCCTTCACAAACGACCGTGCGACTCTCAATGGTTTTGCATATTCTCGGAGTCCGCGGGTATGCGGCCACTGCGTCGGAACCAATCTATAAAAAAAACAGTGATTGTTTTCCGAGCATTCGTCTAAAAATTGGCCAACTTCCTTCAAATTTCTGCAAGCGGACCGCAAGAAATCAGAGAACTATTTTTCCAGTGCCCGCGTCCAAAAATCGCATGGCCGCCTGCCCGCGGCCATTATGTGAGCTATTGTTCACCTACTCAGAGAATCGCCGCGGGTAGGCGGCCTTGCAATTTATAGGCGAGCGGGCTCTTGCTGTCCGCTTGCAGAAATCCAAAAGATTATTAGCCATTTTTTGTAGGAACGCTCATTAGGCGACTTTTATAACTTTTTGTTACGTTTCCAAGGATTTGATCACATTTTTGTAAAACATGAGAAAACGTTATTGCGCTTATCCTAACATAACTCATGAAAAAAGTCTTACGATGAGGTGCGAACTTCATATTCATAGTCATCTACTCAATTTAGCTCAATGATAGAGTTTTCAGCTTATTGAGTATCCATTCTGAGGAAGACGTGGTCATTGCTGGCTTAAACTTCAAAGTTTTTACCATAATCCTACAGTAATGAGGCATGGTGGACAAAGCGCTTCTACTACGCTTCTACTTATACTGTAAACCTATGTTAAAGCCTGCTCTACTGAATGGTGCTTTAACCTAAGCAATAGCTATGCGGAAAGAGAGTTACTAACGGATGAAGGATGTGTACTTACTTTTGGGATACCCTGTATAATGTAGGGTTTCGTTAAAATCTATGACCAGAGCCAAATGCCCCATCGGCTCTGGTCCTTCTCCTCTGCTCGTCTGCGTCTCCTCGCATTGCGCGCTACGCTAACTCGAAGCGAGGCGCGGGGCATTTGGCTCTGGTACCTTTCTCTTATTGTTCTGTGGACAATTATAGTGAACTGTATATCATATTAATGCTATTGATCTCTGCTTTCACGCCAGCAACGCCTTAAAACCCTTTTTTTGATGAACGAGAAATCTTGTAAAAACCGTATTTTCAAAAAACTTTTTTTCTCCAGTTAAAACACTTTTCAATTTCTTCATTCGTAGATCTTGCTTCTGCCTATAATGTAGACAACGTCTCAGAGCTCACTTTTTGGATTATGACTGATTCTTATTTGCAAATAATCGTTTTTCCAACTTACAAGGGAACGATACTTAGTGTCCGTGGCTTTTTAAGATGAAATATATGCCAATACACTCGCTTTCGAACGCTGATTCCAAATCTGGTTTCCGTTTCTGCTGAGCGTTTCTATGAAAGAAGTTATAAAGGATTTTCGCGCCAAATTTGGCCGCGCAAGGCACATAAGATAGGAACACCAACATGGTAACATGTTAACATGCATTCATTTTCCGTCCAATTTCATTTTTATAGGCACCTCTTGGAATTAATATAGGAAACACCCGTATAAAAATGAATCTCCGTTAAATTTTCAACGAGTAAGTACATGCATTTACCTCGAGGAAATCAATTCTCAAAAAGAAGCTTAATAGCTTTCAAAAAGAAGCTTAATTGAGGCAATGCAAAACTGAAAAATACAAAAGAATCTGAACCTACACCTGCATCAGCTTGTGAGGCTAACGCACTAGCCAGTACACCACAACTACCGGCGGTATTGGTGTTCCTATCATATCTCTGGAGGCCAAATTTGGCGCGAAAATCCTTCATAACTTCTTTCAGAGAAACGCTCAGCAGAAACGGAAACAAGATTTGGAATCAGCGTTCGAAGGCGAATGTGTTGGTATACATTTCATCTCAAAAGGCCACAGACAGTAAGTATCGTTCCCTTGTTAGGCGATGATTGCTCAGAATAATGAACGCAACAATCCAGACAACGTCTCAAAATTGGGAAAAAAATTTTGCGTCTTCAAAACTAAATTTCTTCTTGCTCATTTCCTTCTTGATAATCACCACTATCAGAATATGGTTGTTCTTGAAACAACCAAAGGGATAAAAGCTTTTCCTCGTTTCCCCCGTGTTGTGAATTGTCTGGACTGGAGCCTGGAGACCTTAAAACCTGCAATTCGATATGCTACCTAATCATAGATCAAACCTAGTGTTGCGCTTTTATCGGTTTTCGAAAGCTTCTTTTGATTTGCAGTTGTTTTGCAGATTTTTCTCTTCACTAATATTCTATAAGCAACTCACTTTTTATGGGGGGGGGGGGGGAGGATTCAAACAACCTTCACTTTTAAGCCCTGTCTCTATACTATTGTAGGTATGCCACCCCTTGGAGGCACCGTCCCACCCAGATTCTCCACTTCCA